GCTTCATACTTAGTTTTTCTCCCAGGTTATAGCTCAGGTGCTGCTAAATTCCTCTAGACCCACCTTCAAGACTGTTAAGGATAGCACATATTAAAAATCAGAAGTCTTGAACATCAAGAGGACCCCCCACAGTGTGCTCTCCCATGTCTGCATAGTAAGGAGGAAATCTGAACAACAATCCTGACAACACTTCTATGGTTTACATACATGTTTCACCTGTGTGTGTCAATTGTATATTGTCAGCTCAGTTTTTGCTTTGATGTTCTACATAACATAGGAACTTGAAAGCATTTCATTGATTGTGGACCATGCAACGTGAATACAGATGAAAATCCCAGAGGCTGCTTCCCCTTTTATTTTGTAAGCATAAAGGTGGATCTATCCTAACATTAACTCATACTGAGGACATGCGTCTTGTTCTTGCTACTTCATGTGTCATATATTATTTCATGCCTAATTTCTCAGGTTTTGTCTGAAAGCGTAATGCATTTTATAGGCTAAACACATATAATTGAAGCTGGGCTGAAGGCTTCTTTGTGCCTTGACAAGTCTTTCTCTTCTGTTCCCTTCCATAAAGTGAAACGTCTTCCTCACCTCCTCCAAAGTGGAGGTTTAATTTGGATACATTTATCTCCTATGGGCACTCAGCAAATCACTGCCGCGAATGTATGTGACAATGCTTTTATCTCTTCCATTGTCTTCTAGCAGTGAAATGTTTACAGCAGGTTGTCTAGTACAGTATAATAATATTTCATGTAAAATATATTTAAAGAGAAACTCCAAGCCTTGGTGCTTAGCAATATTCCACAGACAAATGTATGTTTTTCATATATATTTCTATACTGTATATATAGAAATGAAGGAACCAATTACATGTATGTGCATTAAGTTAACCTGCATTGCATTAAGGCAGCCATTTGAATTCCATATGCTTCTGATGCACCAAAATGTCCCCAAAATTGGCAAGTCACAACAGTTTTGCCTCCTGCACTGCAATGCACTATGTAATGTAGCATGTTGTATGTTTGTTACCTTAGTGTGTTGGGCTGCTATTCAAAATGAATGGCACTGCAATGTTTCAAGGAATGTAACATACACTATATTGCCAAAAGTATTGGGATGCCTGCCTTTACACGCACATGAACTTTAATGGCACCCTTGTATTAGTCCGTAGGGTTTAATATTGAGTTTGCCCACCCTTTGCATCTATAACAGCTTCAACTCTTCTGGGAAGGCTGTCCACAAGGTTTAGGAGTGTGTCTATGGGAATGTTTGACCATTCTTCCAGAAGCGCATTTGTGAGATCAGGCACTGATGTTGGACGAGAAGGCCTGGCTCACAATCTCTGCTTTAATTCATCACAAAGGTGTTCTATCGGGTTGAGGTCAGGACTCTGTACAGACCAGTCAAATTCCTCTTCCCCAAACTTGCTCATCCATGTCTATATGGACTTTGCTTTGTGCACTGGTGCGTAGTCATTGCCAGAGCCTGGACTTGAACTGGGGACTTCTACGATGTCAGGCAGTAACTCTTCTCACTGAGCTACCTGGGATGCTGGACAACACTCTGCCTGATCTATTGGACAATCCTGCCTTGTTCCTTGTTTTCTGATGAACCTTGAACTCCTTGCTCCTCCCAGGAACTTCCTGATAAAAGCCATGTCCATGCACTTCCTCCTTGCCAGATTATTGTGCCTTTCAGCCAATATCCCACTTATCCTTACTGCTACCGTCTATATCGTTTGTGACTGACCCTTGGCTTGTGACTGACTCCGCTTCTGTCTGATCCCTAAAAAAAGCTCTGCCAAAGTCTTCACAAAACTTGGCTTACGGGGGGCATATAACCTGGTACGCATGCATCAAGGAGACGAATGGAAAACTGCCTTTAGAACCAGATATGGACACTTTGAGTCCCTCGTTATGCCTTTTGGCCTATGCAATGCTCCCACGACTTTTCAGCACTTCATCAATGATGTTTTTCGAGATCTGTTGGACCAGTTTGTTATTGCTTATCTGGACGATATTCTCATCTTTTCGGACATCCTGGAGGAGCATCGCAAGCATGTCTGCACTTATTCAAAAGGTTAAGGATGAACCGACTTTACATCAAACTGGAGAAGTGTGAGTTTGAACAAACCCAGATCCAGTTCTTGGGATATGTCGTTTCTTCAGGAGTGAGCATGGATCCCGAAAAGATCAAGGCAGTGGTGGATTGAACTGCCCCTGGAAACGCTAAAGAAATGCAACGATTTATTGAATTTGCCAACTTTTATAGGAAATTCATAAGAAACTTTTCTCTAAAGTAATAGCACCAATTACACAGCTGACAAAGAAAGGAGTGCCCTTTGCATGGTCAACTGAGGCGCAAACTGCTTTTAGTAAGCTAAAGACTCTTTTCACTTCCGCAGCAATATTGGTACATCCAGATCCTGAGCTACCTTTTTTTGTGGAAGTGGATACCTCAGACTCTGCCGTGGGAGCTATCATTTCTCAGCGAGGAGGAGAAAAAATGCAGCTTCATCCCTGTGCATATTTTTCTCATTTGATGTCATCAGCTGAAAAGAATTACGACATTGGGAATAAGGAGTTACTGGCAATTAAGGAAGCTTTTTCCGAATGGAGGCATCTGTTGGAAGGGGCTAAGCATCCTGTGACTGTCTTCACTGATCATAAAAATCTAGAATTCATCCATTCTACCAAGAGATTGTCTTCTAGACAAGCATGTTGGTCACTGTTCTTTTCCAGGTTCAATTTTATTATCTCATATCGACCTGGGTCAAGAAACGGTAAGGCTGATCCCTTATCACGGATGTCATCTGGGCCTCTCCAGGAGAACAACTCTGAATGCACAATCCTTCCTCAAAAGAACTTTCTAGGGGCCACAAGTACTAAGGCATTCTTGAATCTTCTTAAAGAGGGGTATGAGAATGACCCACCTAATCATCCACCTAAGGACATTAACCTGACTTATAAGAATGGCTTTTGGATTCAAGGACATCATCTTTACGTACCTGAATCTGTTCGGGTGGAAGCTCTCAAGTTGGTACATGATTCCAAACTTGCTGGGCATTTTGGAGTTTCTAAGACTGAAGAACTGTTATCTCGTTCCTTTTGGTGGCCGGGGTACAAGAAAGATGTCAAACGCTATGTGGCCTCATGCTTGACCTGTGCACGTAAAGAAAATTCCCTGAGCCTCTTCTTTGGGGTTGCTTCAGCCACTCCCTGTTCCATCAAGACCATGGGGGTCTATTTCTATGGATTTTGTGGTGGATTTACCTCCCTCAAAAGGAATGACCACCATTTTGGTAGTTGTTGACCGTCTCACAAAAATGGCCCATTTTGTTCCAGTTAAGGGGGTGACCACTGCTGAACAGACTGCAGAACTGATGGTTCAAGAAGTCTTTAAACTGCATGGAATCCCTGATGATGTTGTATCTGACAGAGGTGTGCAGTTTACTTCAAAATTCTGGAAAAGCTTTTGCTCAGCATTAGGTGTTACAATCAATCTGTCCTCTACTTTTCATCCCCAGTCTAATGGTCAGACCGAGAAAACTAATCAAACAATGGAACAGTATCTTTGATGCTTTGTCACTTATCTTCAGGATGACTGGGTGGACTGTCTTCCTACTGCAGAGTTTGCATACAACAATTCTAAACATAGTTCCACTTTTCAAAGTCCCTTTTACTTAAACACCGGTTATCATCCAGTTTTTATTCATGATCTCCCTATCACAACTCCAATTCCTGCTGTTACCAACAGACTAACTACATTGCAGGAGATTCAGGAGAAATTGATTGAGACTTTGAGGGAAGCTCAGGAATATTACAAAAAGGCTGCTGACAGACACAGGAGAGCACTTCCTACGTTTCATGTGGGTGAGAAAGTTTGGTTATCAACAAAGAATTTGAAGGTGCACCTGCCATCTGCTAAGTTGGGTCAAAACTTTGTGGGTCCTTTTCAGATTTCTGCCCAAATCAACCCAGTCGCCTTTGCCTTAAAACTTCCTGACAGTATGAGGATTCAACCTGTTTTTCACATATCACTACTCAAACTGTTTCATGAAAATCCTTTCCCTGGAAGAATTTTTCCACCTCCTCCACCTGTTGAGGTACAGGGTGAAGAAGAATTTGTGGTGGAGAAAAGTCTTGATTCCAGGATCTTTAGGAACAAATTGCAATATCTGGTTCAATGGGAAGGATATGGGCCAGAAGAAAATTCTTGGGAGCCTGAGCAGAATGTTCACGCCTCTAGATTAACAAGAGAATTCCACCAGAGGTTTTCTCACAAACCTGGCCTGAGGACGTCCTGGGAGGAGGGGAGTACTGTCAGAGCCTGGACTTGAACCGGGGACTTCTACTGTGTCAGGCAGTAACTCTTCTCACTGAGCTACCTGGAATGCTGGACAACACTCTGCCTGATCTATTGGACAATCCTGCCTTGTGCGGTGTTTTCTGATGCACCTTGAACTCCTTGCTCCTCCCAGGAACTTCCTGATAAAAGCCATGTCCATGCACTTCCTCCTTGCCAGATTATTGTGCCTTTCAGCCAATATCCCACTTATCCTTACTGCTGCCATCTATATAGTTTGTGACCGACCCTTGGCTTGTGACTGACTCCGCTTCTGTCTGATCCCTAAACTGTTTGATCTGCTCTTGGTTTCCAGCTTGCCCTTTCCCTGGTGGGGTCATCCTGACCTTACACCGTGACAGTCATGTTGGAACAAGAAGGGGCCATCCCCAGCTGTTCCCACAAAGGTAGGAGCATGAAATTGTCCAAAATGTCTTGGTATGCTGACGCCTTAAGAGTTCTTTTCACTGGAACTAAGGGGCCAAGCCCAACCCCTGAAAATCAACTCCACACCATAATCCCCTCTCCACCAAACTTTACACTTGGCACAATTCAGTCAGGCAAGTACCGTTCTCCTGGTAAATGCCAAAGACAGACACGTCCATTGAATTACCAGACAGAGAAGCATGATTTGTCACACATTTCCACTGCTCTAGAATCCAGTGGCGGTGTGCTTTACACCAGTGCATCCGATGCTTTACATTGCACTTGGTGATGTAAGGCTTGGATGCAGCTGCGCGGCCATGGAAACCCATTCCATGAAGTTCTCTATGCACTGTTGTGCTAATCTGAAGGCCACACAAAGTTTGGAGGTCTTTAGCTATTGACTTTGCAGACAGTTGCCGACTTCTGCGCACTGTGCACTGCAGCATGCGCTGACCAAACTCTGTCATTTTACGTGGCTTACCACTTTGTGACAGAGTTGCTGTTGCTCCCAGTTGCTTCTACTTTGTTATAATACCACTAACAGTTGAACGTAGAATATTTAGTAGCAAGGAAATTTCACGGATGGACTTATTGCACAGGTGGCAATCTATCACGGTACCACGCTTGAATTCACTTGAGCTCCAGAGAGTGACGCATTCTTTTATAAATTATTGTAGAAGCAGTCTAAATGTTAAGGTGCTTGATTTTATACACCTGTTGCCAAGGAGGTGATTGAAACACCTGAATCCAATGATTTGGCAGGGTGTCCCAATACTTTTGGCAATATAGTGTACATTGTTGTAAACAATGTTCAACAAAATGGTGGCCATCTGAACACAAGCACCAGTTCCCTGTTGCATGAGTGTAAATGAAATGAGTAAAAGATGGCTTCAGCTCCTGTTCTTCACCTGTAGAGAACTCCTCAGATGCGTTTTGCCCTTTTTGGGGCTTAATCGTAGGGACCTCTTTGATTGTGTGTAGACAACCTCCATTTTGTTGAAGTCTACTAGAGTCTGACAAGGCGATCCTATGTCTTGCACCAATCTATTCACATGGTGATCCAACTGGTACAGGTCTGGGGGACATTTACTGACTGGAGTTAGGCTCTAACTTATTGCCTTGAGTAGACTAAAGTGGTTGTATTGGCTGAAGGTTTTTTTTCTTCTATGTGCTGCTCCCCCCACAGCACCCCCAATACTTACCTGACCCCAATCTTGATCCAGAGCTGTGCACGGAGCAGTGGCTCTCCCAGGTCTCTTTCTCCTCATTGGCTCCACCTGCTGTCAATCACAGCCAGCGAGGAGGCAGCAGGGGGTAGGACTTAGCTACACTCTGTGTGACTTATAGACACACAGAGTGGGGTTGGGAGCAAGCATGCACAAGTGCCCCCAGAGCAAGCAGCTTGCTCTGGGGGCACTCAGCAGGGGAGAAGAGCACCAGCGGGGGACCTGAGAAGAGACGGATCGGGGTTGCTCTGTGCAAAAACCAATGCACAGAGCAGGTAAGTATAACATGTTTGTTATTTAAAAAAACTGAACCTTCAGTGTTAGTTTTAATCAATCGGTAGGCTGCTGTTACAATCCAGTTCACAATTTGATGTCTAGACGCTGCTACAGGTACCTAGGGAAGGTTATTGACCATGATATAAACTGTGAGGGATTTGGTCATAGCCTGAGTTCCCCGCCTAAAACACCCCCTCCCCAAATGAGGCAAATGGTTCTCTGCTTTAAGGAGACACCCTGCTGGGTTCCTAGAAAAAGGCTGTTATGCTTGGAGCAGTAAGTTAAAGAATTCTCCCTTTTAACATCAGGAACCAACTTTGGGAGAAAAGGTACCCTTTTGCTCAGGACCCTTGAAGCTGCTTAAACCAAGGCTGACGGCAAGTGTCCTACCTCTCTAAACGTCTTTCTGTTATCTATTTCTGTTGTGGTATGTGGTATTGCTCTCTGTTTATATATATATATATATATATATATATATATATATACAGTGGGGCAAAAAAGTATTTAGTCAGCCACCAATTGTGCAAGTTCTCCCACTTAAAAAGATGAGAGAGGCCTGTAATTGGCATCATAGGTAGACCTCAACTATGAGAGACAAAATGAGAAAAAAAATCCACACAATCACATTGGCTGATTTGGAAAGAATTTATTTGCAAATTATGGTGGAAAATAAGTATTTGGTCATATGATTGGTTGTTGTGGGTTACTGTACATCCTTAGTGCTCGCCTTGCACATGGGGTACCTTTACTGAGCTGTGCTCATCAATGCCCCAGGACAAGGCGCAGACCACTTTCAGGGCTAACTCAACCTTGAGGAGGACCTCCAATTTAGAGATGGCTGTACACCATGTACACTAAACAATAAACTGGACTCCAATTAACTCTCTGTCCCCATGTCAATGCACACCTTCACGGTAACTTGTTGAAATTAGCAGGGACATGCCCACTCCACCTTTCCAGCGTATCTCTGCTATCTCACTCCCAGTAACAGAATGGAGTCCTGCAGAGCCCCTAGTGTGGATATCATGCATGCTCTTCATTAATTCTTCCTCTCTGTACCTAGTGGCTTGGCTACCCCATAGTTCCCAGCTGTGAGAAAGAAGACTTTTCTGTAAACTACAAAATACAGGTGTGTGTAACTTGCGAGCCAAACAAAAAAACCTTAGGGATCGCTAACTGTAAACTACCCCATGGTTCCCAGCTGTGAGAAGACTTTTTGTAAGGGAATTCCCATGAGACGGCTGGTGAAGAGACATGCGCATGTGCACAGAAATGCACGATCACACACACGCACGTGCACACGCACGGTGAAGATTGGCGCCAGACGGACTATTTAAGAGGTGCCTCTGCCTGTGCTGACTGGTCTTCAGCTGTTCCCTATTTCCTGCTCATTCCTGTGTGTGATTTCCTTGTTGCTGACCTGGCTTGTTCCTGACCTGACTATGGTTCCTCTCCTGCATGATACTGGTTCCTGACTTTGGCTCTGCTCCTGACTTTGGCTTGCTTATGATTTGGTACCTCTCTGTCCGCTCGTTGATGACCCCGGCTATTCCTTTGACACTGCTCCTGTCTCCCATCCCTGCTTCCTGCCTTGCTCTGGTGCACACCTGGCGATCTACCATACCAACTCTGCATATTACTACTGTGCCTGAATTGGAGGTTCATCAGTCTTCCAAAGTCTCCAATTGCAATAGCTGCAAACAACATCTGCTGGGGCTCTTGTCCCCCTGGTCCCTAGACACCCTCTGTTCCACTTCCAGTGGGGTCGGGGCTAGTGACACAAGTGAGGCTGACCTCGTCATTTCAGTCTCCAATCAGGTACGTGACACTTTTCTGTAAACTACCTCATGGTTCTCAGCTGTGAGAGCTAAACTATGCTGTTTTTACCAAGAGGACAGTGTCCTCTGCCAACTGTTGTTAATCATGAATGGACTGTTGCTTGTGTGACCAGTAGCCTGGGCATGCTAACCCATCTGTATTGAGCACAACATAATGCACAGTAATGCTCTACCCTGTATTGTGGTGCGCTGCGAAATATGGTGCATGTTTGATTTTAATGCAGTCTAGTGCATTGCCAACCTGTTCAAATGAAGCCATGTGTGTTAAAGCACAGCATAACATGTTTGCATTAGGGTGACGTACTAGGCTGCAGCAGCATGAATGGGCCTTTAGGCCTTTTTGACTTGTTTCTTATTTATTTTTAAAAACTTTTCCCCCACATGTGTATCCACGTGTTAGAAGACTCTGGTCAGCTGCGTATCTTTAGAAGTGTTGGAAACAAATCAGAATTTGTCTCACGTACTCGCCTTCCATGGCTTAGTACATGTTGTATGGAACACGCAGCCATTGTTTGGTAGCAAAGCACATTGCAGTAATACTTTAATCCACAAAGGTGAATTCTTCCTTATCTTGTCTGCTGAGGACAGATTTTCACAGCTCCGGCCCAGTGAATAATGTGTTCAAGGTTTAGTGCGGCTGATTTCCTGTACACCTGATAAAACTCTGAATTCACTTTGTGCTTCTTACTTTATAGAAATGAGGGTATATAATATTGTGCGATACTAAATTCTGCCTGCTAAGTAATCAGCAAACCTGAATCTTGTATCGCCAGTCATGAATGTCTAGACAGGAGAATAGGACCCAGCACAGAAAATATATATTTCAAGAAGAGCCCCTTCCTCTATAAAAAAAAAACTTGCTCCAAAGTGGCACAACTGTTTTCCTTGGTTCTCTAAATATAAAGTGGGAGGACAACAAATTAAGCAGACTGTCAGAAGGCCATATTGTGCCTATCATTAAAGCTCCTGCCTTGCTTCAGTCATGCACAGTTGTACAGGTTCCTCTCCTGTATAGATATGGCTTCCTCTGATTTCACTGTACATTGTAAGCTTCTCACAGTGTGCATTGGAAGCTGCAGCAAGTCCAGTAGAGCCCACCACATTTCCTGGCTGGAGGACATCCATCATCATTTAGCTGACCCCCTTACCCTGGCTCACCCCTTTCATTTATTGAAGTTCAGTTCTTTCATGGAGGCTGGGCATCACATATTGGCTTTACCTGCGGAAGTCTGCATGCAAATACAGTCTTCCTAGGAACACCCATGGCTCCAGGCTGACACTAGACCAGGGGTGTCAAACTCCATGTTATTGTGAGTCGCATCAGCATTATGGTTGCCCTCAAAGGGCCAGTTGTATCTTGAAGACTGGATGTCCAGAGCACCCCTGCATATCACATGTCAAGGGCCCACACCCTCCCTTATATCACAGAGTACCCCCTTTACATCGTTGCCAGGAAGAAGCTGGGTGTGGAGCTGGGAAGCAGAAAGTGCAAGGTCTGGAGGAGGACCAGTGCTGGGCTACAGTCAGCTGCCAGATTCTGCTGAATGCTGGTTGGTCCTCAGTTCTCAGGTCCTCCTGCTTCCCTTCCCAGAAGTGATTGAGCAACTCAGCTCACCCTGCTCCTCCTTCAAGCGTTGACTTAGAAGCTCAGCTCATCTTGCTCCCTCTCCTACTCAGTAGATCAGCTCCCCCAATACCATTGAATCAGCAGCTTTTCAGGCTTTTAATTTGTAATCTAATATATATATATATATATACAGTGGGGCAAAAAAGTATTTAGTCAGCCACCAATTGTGCAAGTTCTCCCACTTAAAAAGATGAGAGAGGCCTGTAATTGGCATCATAGGTAGACCTCAACTATGAGAGACAAATGAGAAAACAAATCCAGACAATCACATTGGCTGATTTGGAAATAATTTATTTGCAAATTATGGTGGAAAATAAGTATTTGGTCACCTACAAACAAGCAAGATTTCTGACTCTCACAGACCTGTACCTTCTTCTTTAAGAGTCTCCTCTGTCCTGCACTCATTACCTGTATCAATGGCACCTGTTTGAACTTGTTATCAGTATAAAAGACACCTGTCCACAACCTCAAACAGTCACACTCCAAACTCCACGATGGTGAAGACCAAAGAGCTGTCGAAGGACACCAGAAACAAAATTGTAGACCTGCACCAGGCTGGGAAAACTGAATCTGCAATAGGCAAGCAGCTTGGTGTGAACAAATCAACTGTGGGAGCAATAATTAGAAAATGGAAGACATACAAGACCACTGATAATCTCCCTCGATCTGGGGCTTCATGCAAGATCTCACCCCGTGGGGTCAAAATGATCACAAGAACGGTGC